ATTAGAAATCTCTCAGATGAGCTGACATGGTGGCACACACTGCAGTTCCATCTACTCCGGAGGCTTAGGTGGGCGGATCACTTGACCCAGGAGTCTGAGAGCAGCCTGGCTAACACAGAGAGACCCCATCTCAAACATAAAATTATCTGATGACTAGTGACATGAGTACAGAAGAGACATATGTAAGGATGTTTATTACAGAAGTATTTATAATATAAACAAATTTGAGTCAGTGGAAAAATAGTTAAATACATTATGATAATGGGTTACCTATTACCTACAACAAAGAATACCATGCTATTATTCCAAAAGAACCAAGTATGTGTACATTTACTGAATTAGTCTGCTAGAGCTGCCATAATAAAGTATTTTGGGGGTGGTTTAAATAACAGAAATTTATTTTCTCAAGTTCTAGAAACTAGACATCTAGGCAAAGTGTTCCCAGGGTTGGCTTCTTCGGAGGCCTCTCTCCTTGGCTTGTAGATGGCTGACTTCTCCCAGTGCCTTCGAATGGCCTCCCTTCTCCACATCAGAGTCCAGCTTCATCCATAAGGACACCACTCCCATCATGAGACCCACACTAATGACATCATCTTAACTTAATTACTTCTCTAAAGATCCTATCTTCAAATACAATTACATTCTGAGGGACAGTGGGTTAGGACTTCAGCACATGAAACTTGAAGGAACACAATTCAACTCATAATATTTGCCAACATGGAAAAGTGCGCATAATCTTGAACTGTTTTGATTTGTTTTAAGCAAGGACCAGGCATCGTGAGACACACCTATAATCCCAGCACTCTGGGGGCTGAGGCAAGAGGATCACAAATTCAAGCCCAGTCTGGGCTGTGAAACCTTGTCTCTAGATTTAAAAATTTTTAAAGGCCAGGATATAGTTGAGTCCGAAGGCTTTGGGTGCAATTCCCAGTACCATACACACACATACACACGTGTGCACACATACACGCACACAAACACACACACACATGCACACAAACGTGCACACACACACCAGGATGTGCATGATATGATCCCATGTTTTCAAAATCAAAAAACATAAAGGGCCGGGGATTTAGCTCAGTGGTGCTGCTGCCTGCCTTGCAAGTGCAAGGTCCCGAGTTCAATCCCTGGTACCAAAAAAATAAAAAATAAAAAAACATAAAAATAGGGCCAGGAATGTAGCTCAGCAGTGTACCATCTGCCTAGCAAGCCTGAGTCCTTGAGTTTGATTCTCAGTACAAAATAAATAAATAAATAAATAAATAAATAAAATAAAACCTCTGGTACATGTTTATAAGTGATTTGGGGTATTAGAAGCTGTTAATAATGGCTCTCCTGGGGGAGGAGAAACTGGAGTGAAAGAAGGGAGGGATATATGCCTCTTTTTTGAGCATGGATTACTTTTGAAATTTGAAAAATATTAGCTTAACAAATACAGCTATAATATATACTGAAAAAAGGAAAGTGTTCTTATTTAAATAGGGATTGGAGAGAAATCAACAAGAAAAAGGTCTTTATTGAAATGGCGGTTAGGCATTCAATCTCATATAAATTAACAAACAGGAAAATGGGAAGAAAGCAAGTAAAACATTCCAAACCACAAATTATGTAAAGGGGAATGAAAACAAATTTTCTGGTATTGACTTTGATTATTAGATACAGGTTTAAAGCTCTATTTGAAATGGGAAGGGGAACCAAAAGATGAAGGGAGGAGGTAAGAGGGGAGGGGAAGAAGTAAAAAGAATTAAGATTTTTTTTTTTTTTTTTTAGACAGGGTCTCACTATGCAGTTCAGGCTGGCCTTGAACTCACTGTGTAGCCCAGGCTGGCCTCAGATTCCAGGCGATCCTCCTGCCCCACTCCCCTGAGTGCTGAGATTACGGGCGTGTACTATCATGCCTGACAAATTAAGATGCTTTATGTGCATGTACCAACTCCTCACAATGAGTATAATCATTACATACTACAAACATGTACTAATAAAAAATTTTAAATCTAAATAAAATAATTTTAATTTTAAAAAATAAAACTATATCTGAAACACCTATAATTTTACTAAAATATTAGGATTAAAAGCAGAGTCCATCTCCCTTCCAAATTGTCGTAGCAGATAATTACAAATGACGCATTCTGTACAGGTAAAGGAAAAAATGAAGGAAAGAAAATAAATATTTCAAGAATAAATATATAAAGAGAAAAAAATGAGATGAAAATTTGGACAATCAGTGTAAAGTTTATTGACAGTTAAATTTATTGAGTCCATATATGCCTAGCACTGTGCTAAGTGCACTACACTAGCCAGACAGCAGAATCAGACCACAAGTCTTTCTGGCTTTTGTGCTTGAAACAAGACTAATCCTTGAAGAGAAGTCTAAGCAGTTAGAAACAAATACCTTAGTTAGAAAACTTGAGGAAAGGAGGCTTTCTGTCTCCCACGCGGCAAGATACCCAAAGCTATGGGGGAGACAGGGAGAGGTGGAAAGAACTAGCTCTGTGGTGGGCTGGGCCGAGAAGACCACAGCCCCTTACAGTGAACCCCGGACATAACATGATTCAGCAGAGAACCTCTAAGCCTGGGTGCCAAGAGGACAGGAAGGTGGCCCAGGACCAGATATGCCCAATCTGCCCTCTCTCTCCAAGTTCTCTGGCATTTTTGAAGAATGGGAGGTGTATAGCACAACAAAGAACATTGTCTGCTAACTCAGAAGAATAATAAGGGGATCAAAGTCAAAAATTAAGCTTTTGAAGGTAAAGTGCTAATTCCTGCATGTCTGGATTTTATTCTTCCTATTTGATTCTCTTATAACCCTATTATCTTCATTTTACACTTGAGGAAACTTTTTTGTTTTTGTTGTTTTGTGTTTTTTTGAGGGGGGAGGTATTTGTTTTGGTACTGGGGAGTGAATCCAAGGCCTTCATACAGAGCCTTACTTTTCTTTATTTTTTTCATTTTGAGACAAGGTCTAGCTAAGTCTTTAAATTACACACACTGGACTTGAATTTACAATCCTCTCACCTCAGTCTCCCAGAGTGATGGGATTAGGAGCCTGTGCCACTATACCCGATTTAAAGAGGGGTGTGGGGTACACTGGGGATTGAACCCAGAACCTCTGTGATAAGCTAAGTCTCCTTTTTTTTTTGGTCTTGAGATAGAGTCTTGCTAAAGTGAGAACTTCCCTGAGTTGGGGTCAAACTTGCAGTCTCCCAGCCTCACCTGCTCAGAAAGTGATAGGATTACAGACACGGACCACTGTGCCCTGCTAAAATAAACAAACAACAAAATTTAAAGATTAACTGTAAAGCTTTTTAAAAATGTTCTCCAAAAAGGATAAAGATGTATTATGATATATGTGCAAAATAAAATATTTTTTAAAATAAAAAAAATTTAATGTAATAAATAGCTAACTGATTGTGTCAATTTAAATAAGAAATACTCAACTAAATTGGATCAGCATAGGGTGTGGAAGATCCACCCTAGGGAGGATTGGCTCCTGAATAGTATAAAAGAGAAACGAAGAAGAGAGCCTTGCTTCTGTTTCTTCAGAGGAGCACCAGTCTTCACGTTGGATGTCATGTACCTTCTGGCTTCCAGTGCAGACTTCAGCTTGCTGATACCGACTCACACAGGACTCCACAGAAAACTCCAGGCCTTCAACCTTCGACTGGATCCTTTGGATCTCCAGCGCCGAGAGCCCTTTTGCACTTTTCTGTGCTTCACTGCAGGTAGCTACTGTAAAGTCAGTCTTTTAAATTCTTATATATTTGTATATCCTTGCATTAAATCTGTTTCTTTATTGAGCACGGATTGATAAAAAAAAAAAGTTTCAAAGGTCACAAAACTAGTGAATATCAAAACTGGAAATCAAATCTGGGTCTACCTTGCATGGAGCCCATGAAGGCTATTACTCTATAATGCCCAGAATAGAGTTTGCTCTCTCCCCACCACCTGAATACAATGCCTGTTCTCAGCATCCCCTTTTCTAGGGAGTTTAGATGGCCCTCTTGAAGCTCCCTTTTCACTCTGATCCCATCAGTATCACAGAATATATTGTAATGATCTGTGTATACATTCTCCTCTATTGGACAGTAACCTCTTGAGGGCGGGAATTAAGCTTGTCCTGTGCCTGACACATGGTAAATATGTGCTTGACTTCTACAGCAGGAGAATATCGCTTATATCTAACGTTGCCTCCACTAAGAACATTTCTGGTTTCACGCACCAAAGAATAAGTCCCTGGTGTATACCATAGTGCCTGACAGTGATCAAGTTTTCAATAAACATTTTTCAATAAACAAATGAATTATTCAGCAAGTAATCTCTATTTACAGTACTCTGAATCACATTCCAAGAATAAGCAGCTTCTTGACACCTTTTCTTTGTAATGAGTTAGTATTAGAAATTATTTCTACCCACTAACACTTCAAAATTGGTCATTTTTTCCCATTTTCATTCTCACACTCACATAGAACATGATCTGTGTTTGAAAGTGAGATTTTGACTCAGCCGTGGATTTATCCTACTGCATATTACTAGCGCTTAGTTTAAATCTCTCTCGGCCAAATGTCAGAATGTCATGAATCAGGGGGTGGCACTTAGAGGTGAAGTGAACAGTTAACCTCTAATTTACAAGCTTGCTTTTCCCTGGGATAATTGTGTTAAGGTCGCACGTTCCTTGACCTTTGACGCAACAAAATTCCCTTTAAAAGTGGATTGATGACATATCACTATGACTAACTGAAGATGTGGGATAATGGAAGAACTAAAATAGAATTTGTTAGGTAAGCTGGAATCTTCTTAAAAATATATATACATATATAAATTATCTTTCAAGAAGTTTGCCAGAATTGACAATCCGGTGGACAAAGAGGGAGACACAAAAGAGTCTCCTGAACTGCTCGAAGCGAAAGTGCTCCCTCCCGTGGGAGGGGCCGTCCGCGCCTCCCGGGAAACCGCAGGTGGGGGGCGTGGCCTAGGGCTGGTCCAAGGCTTCAGGGGCGGGGCCGCAGGGCGCGAGAGGCAGGCTGGGAAGAGGCGCCATATTGGCGTTGGCCGCGCCGTATTGTCATAAATAGAGCCGGTTTTGTGGTGTTTTCACTACTCGGTTGGATGCCTCAGTCATAGTAAGTGGGGGAGTGAGCGAACCAGTGAGCTACAACAAGCGACCAGAGGAAAACAGAGAGGGAGAAGGGAAGAGCGGGAACAGGAAAGACTTCAGAGTGAAAGACACTCGCCAGGAGGGAGGCGCAGGAAGCGATGAAAGAGATGTCTGCGTAAGTGGTGGGGGGCGGCGGTTGAGGACGAGGTGGAGAGAGGTGAGCTGAGGTGGTCGTCTCGGGACCCCGTTTCCGTTCCCTGCCCCTTGCACCCCAGCGTGCCCTGGTGGTTGCTTCCCCGCTCTCAGCCGGCCCGCAAGGGCACCTCCCTTGGACTCGGCAGCTCACCTGGCTCCTCCTGCCCGGACGCGGGGACTCTGGAGTCCCCATCTGTCCCCGGCTGTCCCACCTCTGAGGACGCCCTCAAACAAGGATGAGGAGCGAGAGAAGCGCGAGTGTACGTGGGGAGAAATTGTCGGTCACTCTTGCCTCCAGCACTGTCTAAGCCCGTCTGCTTCTGTCTGCATTGGCGCAAATACCATCCCCCTGCCTCCCCCTCCTCCCAGCGGGACTGGCTGTCTTCAGGTCCTCGGGAGTAAAAGACCGTCCAGCCCAGGGGGGTTCTCTGATAAAGACCGAGATCCTGCCCCCCTACCTCCCCACCTAACCACAATATCTACCCGTCTGTACCTTCTGCTCATACTTTGACAAGTCAGAAACAGTTTTTGTGTTTGCCAAGATTTTGTTATACCATCTTACGTTTCGATTTATTAGGAAATAAATGTACAGAAAAAGACAGGATAACAAACACCGTTTGTATAGCCACCACCCGTTTCTCCCAAAGAATAACGTGGTGTGTTTGTACCTATGTATTTTTTTTTTTTAAAAGGCATTCCTGATACATCTGAAGGACTCTCCTATCACCTGCTCTGGTCCCCTTCGGAGATCCTGACTGTCCTGAATTTGATGTTTATTGTTGTGGCATTTTTAATGCTGTTACTATATATGCATTTGTCTATAATAGCTGCCATTGTTTTACTTGTTTTTAAACTTCATATAACTAATATCACACTTGTCATTCGACAGTTTGCTTCTTTGGAGCAACGTGGTATCTGAGCTCTGTTAGTAGTTTCAGTTCTAATTAATTCATATTAACTAATGTGTTGTATTCAATTGTAGGGTTACCCTCTAATTTAGTCCTTTTCCTATTAGTGACAATTATAGGTTATTTCAAAGTTTTTAAGTTTCAGTGTGGCAATGAACATTCTTATACATGTCTCCTTGTACATTGTACTGGACTGTCTCCAGGGTGTTTGGCTATGAGTGATATTGATGGAGAGTTATTTTGTTTTTGTTTTTTCCCTGATAAGATGAGAGAGGTTAAAACCCTAAATTTGGGATTTTAGGGCCAGTAGGGACCTAGATAGCTAACCCCACCCCTCAATCTGGGGATTAAACCCAAGGCCTTCACACTAAGCTACATTCTCCAGCCCCTTTTTAGTGTTGTGTTTTTTTTTGAGACAAGACTTCCCTAAGTTCCCCAGGCTGGGCTCAATCTTGTGATCCTCCTGCCTCAGGCTCCTAGAGTGACTGGTATTACAGGTGTGCACCACCACACCTGTTTTTGTTTATTTTGTGGGGTTTTTTTTTAATTGAGACCTAGGATCATAGTAGCTGAACTGAAGTAGTTTTGGAGAGGAGCATGGAGTAAAGAGGCTTAGTAGTTCAGTTTCTGGCTCTTTTCTCTCTTGAAACCTCAGGTTTTTGCCTGTAAAATAGCACTTACTTGAGACCTTCCTCAGAATTATTGTTGATTAATTGAATGATCATTTGTCAGGAATCAGTCTGTCCGACCTATTATCATATACATATAAACATAATACCAAAAAACCTCTGTAGCTCTTTGAATATAGAAAGCCAAATCTTTATAGACAAATACAATCTGAAATAACAAGTTTTGTTCTACTGCAAAGTAAATATCAGAGAGAAATTAAAGTAACTAGTATGGCTGTTACCCTTTTCTTTGAGTCATTTTGGAGGTATAGGCTATTTTATCGCTCCTTGATTCTTCTCTCATCCTACCTAATGGAATCTTTAAAAATTTTTATTAGCACATATTTGCAGTATATAGTGATTACATTCATCATGGAAAGTTGGTACATGTACATAGCACATCCTGATTCTTTTTACATCCCCTTTCCCTCCCTCCCACCTCCTTGCATCTACCTAATGAAATCTTTAACTGAAGAGTATGCCTTACTCTTGTGGACTTACTAGTGATAACGTAATGTTTTGTCCAGTTAAAATCTAAAAACAAGCATTATTATAGTTTTTGTGGTTTTAAATTTTTTAATGCATAGTACATATTTATGGGTGCAGTGTGACATTTCAAGTATAGAGTAGGTAGTGATAAATGGTAAATAGGAATATTCATCATCTTAAGACATTTGTTGGGATCATTCAAATTTTCACTATTCTGAAATCTATACACAATTGTCATCAATCACAGTTGTCCCACCGTGCCATAGAACCTTAGAGGTTAATCCTCCTATCCAACTGCAGCCCTGTACCCATTAACCTTCATGTCTCAGTCCCCTTGTGTGTTATTTTTTAATTAGGGCTAAGGTATTCAAGTTAAAAGACTGCTTTTTATTTTGTGATTACATTCTTACTATTGGTATGAAAGGCCCTTTGTGACACCATGATGGTAGATGTTAGGGTTAGTTGGTTAGAGTTAGTTGGTGTTTGTTTTCACTTTGCTTTCATAGTAAAATAAAACTGTACAATCCTTGTCAGTCCCAAAATTTATTTTGAAAACATTGGTTTGTGTAAGCTCCAAACCTCAGGAATTGTCTTGTACTTCACTGAAGGCTAGGGTCTATGGAGGATCACTTTCATTGTATCCTATAAAAGGTTGCCATTTAGTGTAAAGAACTTGATAATTATGCAGTGTGAAAATGGTATGAGTACCAGTCTACAATGAAGAGAACAGTTAATTAGAGTCACAAAATGTTAGGACTATACATTCTGATTCAAGCAAAATGTGTTAATGTGGGTTTCCCAAGGATAAATCTAGTTATAATTTCTTTTTTAAAGCTGGATTATTTCACAAGGACCTTCTAATGGGATGTTTTTGTTACTTAGGGAGAAAAAAACAATTGTTTATATCAAGAGGTTTCTTTTAAGTGTTTGACTGCTTTCCAGATTCTAGATTCTAGATGGTACTTGACTTGGGTCTGCAGGATGTAGTGAACGGGACCCTGGCAGAGATCCCATTCATGCTCTTTGCATTTGAACTGAGTGGTGGTGGTACAGTTGTCCCAATGCCAGCACATGCTGCTTTTGGCTTGCAAAGACATCCTAACCATGAAAGCTGGAGGCAGTATGAATAGCCCTTCATAAACAAACATAAAATATCCATTGTTTTCTTTTTTGAAAAAATGTTTGTCCCAACTGTTAGTATTAAATAAACTTTTAAGGTAGCTTAATTAATGTGAGTGGATTGAGAAATTTGATGTTTCATTATAATATGACTTTAAATTTTTTACTGTTTCTTTTTCCCTGAACAGAAACACCATGCTGGACAGCCAGCGTCAACAAAAACATTATGGAATTACCTCTCCAATTAGTTTGGCGTGTCCTAAAGAAATTGATCATATTTACACACAGAAATTAATTGATGCCATGAAACCTTTTGGAGTGTTTGAAGATGAAGAAGAATTGAATCACAGGTATGAAATTGAAAACTATAAAATATTTTATAGTATATTACCTAATTGTTAATTCTACAAACATACTGAATACTCACTGTGTGCTGCCTAGGAATACAAAATGTCAAAAAGAAGAAAATGCTTGGCTGTCCTGGAGCTTACATTTTAGGTGGAGTTTAGAGGAGATTGACAATTAGTCAAATAAGTAAAATAAATGCAGTGTTACATAATAACTGCCAATCAGAAAATAAAGCTGGGGAGAGGTTTCCAGAGAATGTGTCATTGAGAAAACGACAAGGAAAAATTTGAAGGTGAAGGAGATTGTGGTACTTGAGAAAAAGCACTGTGGTAGAAAGCCTGAGATAATATACCTGGTATGTTTGAGGAGTACATAGTAAATTCAGATCCTGGATATCTAAAACTGTAAATAAGTGGGGAAAGTTGAGCTTAAAAGAAAGTGAAGTGGAGGGGAGCTTGGAGGGAGGGCAAGGGCACTGAGGACCTTACAATAACTGAGGTATTAGAAACATTTTATTTTATTCTGAGTGAAATGAGAAGCTATGAGAGTTTTGAGTAGAAGATTGATATGATTTGGCTAATGTCTTAATACATTCACTCTGTTTTGAGAATAGTTTGAAGTGGGATTCAAGGGCCATTCTGATAATCTCAGAAGGAAAGGATGGTGCCTGCCACCTGGACAGGGGCTGTAGAGGTGATAAGTAGTAGTAGACTTCTGGATATGTTTTAAAGGTAGGGTTGTTTAATGACTGAATGTTAGAGAGTTTTCAAAGATAATGCCAAGGTTTTTAGTCTCAGCACCTTAAAGGATGGAGTTTCGTTTTCTGGAGAAGACTGAGGGAGAAGCAAGTTTGGACACATCAGGAGTTTTGCATGCTATCTTTGAGATGCCTAAACCCTGCTTTTCTTTTTTAATGTGAATTTGTTTATACCTTGATTGCAGATTTGTTTAAATATGCCAAACTGCTTTTATTAAATATTATTTCATAAAAAGTCAATAATTTATCTATTTTTAATTTTCCCAAAGACATAGGATAAGCAGTGAAAGAATCCTAGTCTCTAGAGCCACATTGAATTGATTTAATTCCATAGTAAGGCAAAGAAAATTGACAGTTCAGTTGGAGTCTGTGGCCTCAGTTAAGATAACTTTTTGATTTTAATTAGGTTTTTTTGATTTTTGAAAATAGCTCAAAGACCCAAAATACTATTATCACATGTATTGTCTTTTTGGCACTCTTAGGGATCTAAGAACACCAAAGATGTGCTGCTGTGTATCAGCATATATGATAGCATTGGCACATATACAATATGCTTTTACCCTAGTCCCAACACCCTGATACTGCCTGTATGTTCATTTCTTTAATAGTGTTTGTTTTCCATTTTAATCTACAGTTTAAAGTTTTAATCTTTTTTTTTTATTGTAGGCTGGTTGTTCTTGGCAAATTGAACAATTTAGTAAAAGAATGGATTTCTGATGTCAGTGAGAGCAAGGTAAGACTATACTACATGGAATTCTTTGTTTCAGTATATCCTGGTCATTCATCCTGACAATAAGATGTAAGAGTTGAGAATTTGCAAGCCTAAAGAAATTGATCATATTTACACACAGAAATTAATTGATGCATTAATCTGAAATACATTAGAACCTGGAAATGAATTCGTCTAGACACTTGAATTTCTAAGTAGATGAGGGTTTACCCTAGAGGTAGCCTAATTAGCTACATGTCTACATAAAAGTCTTGTTTGATCCAAATGTAGTGGACCAAAATGTAAATATCAGGAGATTTTACTTAAAAAGACAGGTCTTAGGCTTATTATGAAATAATATGTGGTAGCACTGACCTGTTTTTGTGCATAGCAGAAATTGTCTTGAGTAAGATTGGGCTGCTGCCCTCCAGTGCCTCACAGCACTGCTCCACTCTTACCTGTACTGACCAGGTGACTGCCATTTATCAGATCTTGTATTTCTTATGTTGGGCTCTTATTTGCATGTGTGCTTGCCTCCTGACATAGGCTTTTGCAAACCCTAATTTATAATTATATAACAATTTTCTTGTGTAATTTATTTTTCCTTATTTTCAAGAATGTTTTAAATAAAAGTTTCATTATTCTCTCACAATCATTGCTATGAAAGTTATTTCTGAGGTTGTACTAAAATTGGGTAGAACATTTTCAATTGGGTGGTAACTATATTCATCAGCTTTCCATCACTGTAACAAAATACCTGGGATAGGCTACTTAAGAAGAAAAGAGGTGTGGTTAGCTCACAGTTTTGGAAGTTCAAGTCCAAGATTAGTTGACCCTGTTGTTTTGGGACAATGGCAAGTACGTGGAAAGGAGATTGGGTTATGAAATAAATTGGCAGCTGGAGCTTCAGAAAAGAAGGTACATAGAAGCATTTTGTGGGGCTCAGGGATGTAGCTCAGTGGTGCAGCGCCTGCCTGGTAATAAACACAAGGCCCTGAGTTCGATTCCCGGTACCAAAAAATGAAAAAGAAGCATTTTGTGGAGATTTTCAGTAGCAGGTCCAAAAGTCCTTAACCTTGGTAGTGCCAGGAAAAATGCACTGGCAACTTTTGAGTGAAAAAGCTACATAATAGAATAAGTAAAGAACATTAGCCAGTGAATTTTGTGCAACATAGAGGTAGGAGAAATGAAAGACTACGAGCAAGGATAAAGTTTAGAATAACTACTAAAGAGCATAAGCCTAGAGGAATAGTTGAATAGGAAGGCAACAAATATAAAGGATATAAAGCAAGACTTAGTCAAAAAAAAGATAGGTTTGGGCAGTAAAGATAATGAGGAATAGAAATAGGGAAATCAGAAGGGGTACTTGGTTTTTGTCATAGGAAAAATATTTTCTTTGAAGCATGGATACTGAAGTGGATTGAGATATCTGAGTTAAAATAGATGATAGGCAGTTTAATTGTGATACAAATAATGTTAATTGAAAGTTTTAGATTAGCTCTCATAAGGACATCAGTCAGGAATTTCTTCACTTTCCTGAGAAAGGTTGTAGAGCTAGAGTCAAGAAATTAAACATACCTGTCACAAAAAAGGGAGGTGGAATTGGCCAAGTGTATTATATTGTAAAGAGCTGAAACTTCATTAGTTTGGTAAAGAGTTCCTGGGTGGCTGTTGAAAGTGAAAAAGCCAAAGGGATTTGGAGGGGTCAAGTAGGGTCAGGTGATAAAAAAATGTTCTTTTGTGTGATAAAGTGTAGGTATGTGTAGTGTACATAAATCTGTTTCGTCTTTCCTGTGAGAATGAATATTTTTCATTCTATTCAGGACAGCCAAAAGAGCCCTGAAGTACTTTTAAAAATCTCATGATACCAACGTACATAAATGTACCATATGGATTTAATTTGCTTAATAAAAGGCAGTACGCATTTAGGTACTTTCTATGTTAAACAACTTGAATGATTGACTTTTTGCTTAATTTTATTTTAGAATCTTCCTCCTTCTGTTGTGGCTACTGTTGGTGGTAAAATTTTTACATTTGGATCATATAGGCTTGGCGTACACACCAAAGGTAATTGCTTTTCTGTTATTATCTGCTAATAAGAACTTTTTAATAAACATGTATTTTGTTGTTCACAGAAAATACAAAAGAACAAAATTCCCATTGACTCACTACTTAATGCTAACCACTGTTAACATTTTGTTGTATTTATAGTTCATACTTTGTTCTGAATGCTTATATGAACTTTAATGAAAATGATGTATAATAACTCTTCTTAATATGAAATACTTTGATTTGTAGGAGCTGACATTGATGCACTTTGTGTGGCTCCACGACATGTAGAGAGATCTGACTTTTTTCAGTCTTTCTTTGAAAAATTGAAACACCAGGATGGCATTAGAAACTTAAGAGTAAGTATTCTTTGGCATTTAATATTTTGAACTTAGTAACATACCTCTAAAAGTTAAGGCTTATGATTATTGAATTACCTTTTAAGAAGCTGATATATCTTGTTAAAATAACACATAAAGATTAAGAACATGGGCTTTATAGTTGCAGAGTTGGGTTTGCATCTAGAATCTTGTTTAAGCTCTTAATTTTTAGTCAGGTTACCTCTTTTTGAGCTGATTTTCTCATCTATGGAACAGAAATGTGTTGATAACTTTTATAAGGTTTTTTAATGAAATAATTTATATAAACCATTTAAAATCTGATAGATAGTTGATACATGTTAAATTGTGGATGCTATTGTTTTAGTAACTATATGTGGATATCTAATTCAGCAAATAAAATTTCAGTACCAATAATTTGTACTTTATTGTACCTTAGCCCTACAGGTACTATTTTTTTTTAAGTCATGAGCTCTGATTATTTCTAAATTTCTAACACTAGTGCTCTTTCTAAATAATCAGTCTTCAATTTAGACCCAGGAAATGCTTAGTACCCTGATGACAGCAATTCTACCTTCCAGTTTCTCCCCTCTCCCCAGTACTGGGAATCGAACTCAGGACCTTGTGCTTGCCAGGCAGGTGCAGCACCCATTGAGCTATGTCCCCAATCCCTGCCTTCCAATTTCTGATGAATGTTTTTAGTAGGATAATAATTTAGACAACTACTGCTATAGACATATTGTGTATCTTTAATAACAGGTCACAAAATAGAAGTCCTTAACCTGAATATAAGACCAAGAACATTTTCACTTTTTTTATTGTGTTAAAATACAAATTGGGAGCAAAGATACTCACTGGCAGTAAATAAAAGTAGAGAAGATTATACTGTGTGTTATAATTGTTTCTCTCTTTTGTAGGCTGTCGAAGATGCTTTTGTACCTGTTATAAAATTTGAGTTCGATGGCATTGAGGTATTTAATATTTTTTTGACTTTATATTTGAACCTTTTAGCCCATAAGGTTTATGTTTTGTTTTTAAATGAAACTTAAACAAGCACATATCTTGAAGATTCAGTCTAAAGAGGCCCTCACCTTCCTCTTTCCTATTTCTCTTGTTCATGATGGAAAATGAACCAATCTCCATTCCTACTCCCATGATTTCTTGATATACATCTTTCTCATTCCCATAATCTCCTAAAATAATGATATCATTATAATTTTGTTTTGAGCAGTGTTCTGTTTTATAAATTATTGCCTTATAGTTACACTGAGTATACTAAATACCATTCTTTTTTTTTTTTTTTTTTCTAAATACCATTCTTTGCTAGCTGATACGCTTTTTTTCTTGGGAGTTAATTGTTTTGGGTTTTGTTTGTTTTTATACGTAGGACTAACTTAAATCCAGTCTTCCTTAGTTAGTTGTCTCTACCTTCTTGAAATAAATTTAGATTTATCAATTATTATCATCTTGAAAAAAAATCTTACAGACACTTTTCACCTGTTCCGATCTAAGCTGATTGTTTTTCATGACTGATGTACAGCTATCCTGGCATCTTCCTTTACTGTCATGGAATTTTCTTTTGCTTCCTTCTTAAATTTTCTTTCTTGATTTACTCTATTTACTGGAGCTCCTCCACTAGCCTGAAAAAAAAGCACTTTTTTTATACCTTGTATGTTTAAAAATGTCTTCAGTTCTCATACTAACTTGATAATTTGAGTATATAGCATTCTAGGTAAGACTTTTTGCGTTGTGTTTTTTTTTGGTACCGGGGATCAAACTCGGGTCTTTGCACTTGCACAGCAGGCGGTGAAACTACTGAGCTAAATCCCCAGCCCTCTAAGTAAGACTTTTAAAGGCCTTTCTGCATTGTCTTCTAGCTTCTGTGGTGTATTGAGAATTGTTACAGCATTTTGATTTCTCTTTCTTTGTATATAATCACTCCTTGTCTCAGGAAGCATAACTTCTTCATATTTTAAAATTCTTGATAATATAAGAATTGTCTTTTCAACCAGTGTGCTAGGCATTCAGTGATCCTCTGAATTTGGAAATTTTGTCCTTCAGTTCTTAGAACTTTTATTAAATTCTCTTGGACTTCCTGTCTTTATTTTCTTTTTCTTTTTCTGTTGGACTCCTAACATTTTAATGCCTTTAGAACAGCATTTTTAAACATCTCTTTCTTCCTACTTAATAAGCACATCTTTATGTTTTAGTTCTACTCTTTGGTGTTATCTCATCTTTAAAACTTTGTTATTTTTCATTTCTACTGTCATATTTTTAATTTCTAAGAATACTTTTTAATTTTCTAAGTGTTCCTTTTTATTGATGTGTTTATAACCACCTGTCCTTATTTCCTGTATTCATCATTTTATATCTGCTTTATTAGGTCTACTGAGTCTGATACCTACCACTTGTCCATCTGCATTTCAGCTTTCATAGCTTTTACTGTTATCTTCTAGCAAGCAGGTCATTCCTTTAAAATGAAAATTAAACATTAAACAAAATTTTCCTATTTTAGTTGGATTTTAAAAAGGAGTAATAGTAAATGTGTGTTAGACCACCTTTATGTAGAAATTCACTCATAATTTTGATTTTTTTTAAATGTTCAGCATGTATGCTAAAGTCCAAATGTTTTCCTTAATTAAAAAATTTCACTACCTTAAACTTCACAGTCTTAAAACTTCACAGTGATTTTTCCACAAGATTCCCTATGTATGCCTTTTGAAATATTGGTAGAACTTCCCAAACTAATAATTTTTTGAGGTGGGATGAGGGAAAATGGACTAGAAAGAGAAAAAGTAATATTTCTCTCTCTCTCTCTCCTCTCTTTTCTCTCTCCAAAGATTGATCTAGTCTTTGCAAGACTGGCAATACAAACCATATCAGATAATTTAGATCTAAGAGATGACTCTCGCCTGAGAAGCCTTGATATAAGATGTATTCGCAGTCTAAATGGTAAGCTTCTGGGCCAGGGATTTAGCTCAGTGGTTCCGCTGCTTGCCTCGCAAGTGCAGGGTCCCGAGTTCAATCCCCGGTACCAAAAAAAACAATATTATCCATAAATGGTAAGCTTCTGAAAAATCTCAGATATATGCGGGGGTTCTTTTTGGACAGCTATTAAGAGATTGGACTGACTCATTAAAAGTGATGTTGGCTGGGGGTATGGGTCTCAATAGTAGAGCACATACTTAAAATGTGAGAGACCCTGGGTTCAATCCCCAGCACTAAAAAAAAGTTGTAATTTTCTTATACAGATAATATGACTGTATTTAAGTAACTTAAAAGCTGCAAATTTACATGAAAGGTTTTTCATTTTTAGAATTGTGGTTCACAAACTTAACTGGTGTCAGGACCTCTTTAAACCCTTACTAAAATTTATTGAACTGCAAAGTGAGGGCTGGGATATAGCTCATACAGCACTCACCTAGCACATGTGAGGCCCTGGGTTCAATCCACAGCACCACCAAAAATCAAAAAATTGTGAAATGCTTTTGTTTATGTGGGTTATATTAGTCAATATTTACCATATTACAAATAAAATATTTTCTCATTTAGAAACACCAGTACCAATTATAATAAACCAATTATAAATTTAATATAAAGCTTTTTGTATGAAGAATAGCTTTTTTTTTGCATTTTTGTAAATCTCTTCAATGATTAACTTAACACAGTACTTTGTTTTGATTAAAATAGAAGAAAAAATCTATCCTCTTACAGATATGTACTTGATAAAGGGAAAGTGTTTTAAAAGCATTTTCAGGTAATTGGAGTTGTTCTTTGATACTACACCAAAACTTGACCATTGATAGTTTATCAACTTTTTTGAAGTATAATTACATACCATGAAACTCATCTTTTCCAAGTGTACAATTTGCTGTTCTCTGGTGTATTCACAGAGTTGTACAATGTAATCCTATTTTAGAACATTTCATCGCCCTCAAAAGATGCCTCGTACCCATTTGCAGTCATTTTCCCTTTCAACCCCCAGTCTATCACAACCATTAATCTGTCTATAGATTTGTCTTTGCTAGATATTTCATATGAATGGGATCTTATATACAGTAGACTTTTGCATAGGACTTCTTTCACTTAGCCTTTATAGTGTGCATGAAGTTCATCCATGTTTGTATTTGTTCCTTTTTTATTGCTGAAAAGTGATAGTTTCTAAAGGTTAATTGGAATATGGAATCTATGAAATTTTGTACTGTTATATTATTATCCATTGGTCTATTTTGTCCTTTGATTGAATCTTTTACCCATGCATGATTTCATACTGTCATACCTTGGTCATTTGGAAAATATTGGTTCACAAGTTATGTGTATTTTTAAAATGTTAACATACATTATATTATAAAATTGCATTCATTAATATCACCACTAATTTTGTTTTAAAAGTCTTAAGTATTGTAAAGCTTACAGTAGCCAATACAAGTTATCCAAAATTCTAACTTAACTTGATAGCTTAGATTTCATTATTGAGAATTAATTTTGTCATTTTTCCCCCCTAAAGTAACAAATTCACTTTCAGAATATCTCCTGAATATTCACTTTGAATAACCATAGTTTATTAGCCATACTTTCAAGTAAAACTGATATTCCTTGAAAAAAAACAGGTGGTTCAGTTTATAGCTGAAGTGATCACTCACATTTTTTCCTGAACTGTGTGTGGTGATGAAGATACATTGTATACTAATATATTTTGTTGCTATTGCCTTGATTCACTGCTAAAGTAACAGCAGTTCTATCCATCCTTGATTATGCACCATCATTGCAAATGTTAACATAGTAAAGAAGGCAAAAAAGCCTTGGTATTTTAAAAATAGGTTTTTATTATTATTTAAAAATAGATGTAAACAGATTCTCAAAGCCCACAAACAACATTGAGAATGACTTGTGTCTTTCGTTTAACATAATCATTGCATTTTGGTGTACTTCCAGAGTGTAACAGTAAATCAGGATTTGTGAATAAGATTTGTATTAGAGCATTTAACAGTTAACACCTTTGGGGGATTCAGTTAACAAAGTTTGACATGGAAGAAAATTTAAAAATACTCAGACCCATCTATATTCTAATAGTAGATTTGATTCCCATGTACTTTTTTAATGAATCAGAAGCAAAGTACTTTCTCAAATATATTGCTAAATTTCAAATACATAGAGAAATAAACCCTGATATACTACTGTCTTTCATATTTGTAACATTTGAGATCTGGAGGTTAGGAAAAGATTTGAATTGAGTTTTGAATAGTGAAAAAAAAATGAATGTTTTGTCTTTTTTCAGGATGTAGAGTTACTGATGAAATTTTGCATTTAGTGCCAAATAAAGAAACTTTTAGACTCACCCTAAGAGCAGTCAAATTATGGGCAAAACGTAAGTATCTAAGTCTTATGTTTACATTATAAAATTCTAATTTTGTTACTGGTGATAGAAGCCCATATGAAAACTGAGCCTATTTATACCATCAGGGATTGAGGCCCAGTAAACTTTGGAATAGTTCATTTTTCAGGTGTAACGGTTATGTGTTCTGTATGTGACTCTCCTTCCTTGGGTGAAACCTGAAAACCTCCAGATTTTCCATCTCAGGTTTCAGCCATACACATACATGCACACACTTCTATATGTACAAGGGGAAATCAAAAATACAGTAAGTGCTTTTTTTAACTTATTATTGTGGAAGACACATTACCAAGAGTGATGGATAAGTGTGTTAAAAGCTAGGGGGAGAGTATTTTGAGGGGAGTTAATGGCAGTGTGTCTGTTAGTGTAATACATTTTTTAATTAAATATATCATAAAGGCCTTTTTTCTAGTCCCCAGCTGGCACAGGACATTCTGTATTATTTGTAACTTCACTTATGCATCACTTAACAGTGGTGATACATTTTGAGAAATGTATTATGAAATATAGATATTCCTTATTTTAACAACCCACCTGTTTAGTGACTGTTCGGACTTAATGTTCATTCAGACTTATGAACTGTCTTTTTTTTTGTACAGTTCTGTACATTGTTTATAAAACCTCAGTGTCTTTTTTATACAGTATACCTTGTTTATACAGTAGTGTAATTTTTGCTGATTGTACTGTATAGTCCTGTAGTTTTATCTTCCATTATACGTTACAGTACTGCATGTAAGTTATGCAGATAAAAGTAAAGTCATCAAGTTGGAGTTTCCTTTGACCATTTCTTTGTTCTGAATATTGTGATGTACATACTATATATAATTCGTCATTTAGGACCTAGTCGCAAGACCATGACTCTGTCATTAAATGAGGAATGTCTATAATTTCTTTGTGCAAATATCATAGAACACACTTCTATAAATCTCGATGATATAGCCTGCCACACATCTAGGATGTAAACCTATACAGCATGTACTGAATACCGTAAGCAGTTATAGCACATTAGTAAGTATTTGTGTATCTAAAGATATTTAAATAATGAAAAGGTGCACAGCACATACCATGAATGGAGCTTATAAGACTAGAAGTAGCTCTGAATCAGTGAATGAGTGGAGCACCTGGTGATCTAATAGGCAATGAGCTTAGCATGAATGGCTCCTTGTTGATTTTAATATTGTGTTCCTAGGGGAAAAATTCTAAGAAATACTCTTAAGAATAAAGTTATCCTATTGAATGACAAGGATCGAATTATAGTCTAACAATAATAAATATATTAATTTTTCAGGACGTGGTATTTATTCCAACATGCTGGGATTCCTTGGTGGTGTCTCCTGGGCAATGCTAGTTGCAAGAACTTGCCAGCTATATCCAAATGCAGCAGCTTCTACTTTAGTTCATAAGTTTTTCTTAGTTTTTTCCAAGTGGTAAGTATATATAGGTACTTAGACTATTTACTAATTTCTGCTTATATGTAAATTTATTTGGAAAATTAAGAGCTATGCACAGACTTTTTCTGTTCTTTTTTAAAACATTCGTTAAGTTTTAAAAACTTAGCAAATTTGAGGCAGTTAGCACATCCAGATAGCATTTTTTTATTTCTGTTTTTCTTTGATAACTAAGTATTGTATATATTTACAGGGTACCATGATGTGATATTTTGTTATATGTACACATTATATGCCCATGATACTCAAATCAAGATAAACATCTGTCCCCTCAAATATTTTTCTTTTTCTTTTCCTTTTTTTTTTTTTTGTACTGGGGATTGAACTCAGGACCTTGCGCTTGCATGACAGGCGCAGTGCCACTGAGCTAAATCCCTGGCCCAATATTTTTTTTGTGATGAAGATACACAAAATATTTTCTTTTTAGTATTTATGAATATACAGTACACTAGCATTACCTTTAGTCACCTTACTGTGCAGTAGAACACTAGAACATATTTCTCTCATCAAACTGTAACCGAGTACCTATAAACCAACATTTCCTCAACCTTCACATTGCCTTACTCTTTCTACCCTCTGGTGTTAATGTTCTACTCTCAACTTCTGTAAGATCTATGTTCTTAGATTCCACATAGGTGTGCGATGGTGCAGTATTTTTCTTTGCCTGGCTCACTTCACTTAACATAATGACCTCCAGCTCTGTCCATATTATCACAAATTACTGTGTTTCATCTTTTATATAGATGCCACTTTTTTAAAATAGTATGCCATTGGCCGGGGATTTAGCTCAGTGGTTTCGCCGCCTGCTGCGCAGGTGCAACGACCCGAGTTCAATCGCCGGTACCGGGGGAAAAAAAAAAAAAATAGTATACCATTTTCTTGCCAGGAGTTGTAAATGAGGGCCTTTAGCTTGGGAAAGAGGTTATAGTAGATTTTTCTCTGCATATTACAACCTATAAAGAAGTTGTTTAAGCTCTTTTCATCTATAAGATAGAGAAGATAATCACCGCTAATACATTGATTTGTCACCATTTTCAGTAAATGTTACTGCTGTTACCAAATTGTCATAATTAAATCCATGAAAGCAGATGAGAAGGAAAAGAAGTTTCAGTCTAAATTGGTTACAACTAAGCAGGCATGGTGGTATATGCCTATAATCCCAGCACTAGAGAGGCTAAATCAGCAGGATCTCCATGAGTTCAGGGTCAGCCTGAACTACATAGCAGACCCTGTCTCAAAGAAACCAGATAAGTAAGGAAATTAGTTACAGCTAAGGAGAAAAGTACTGTTCTCTTTCAGAGAACACTGCTTCAAAATAATCATTTCCATTGTATACTTTTTTCCTTTTTTTTTTTTTTTTTAAATTAACAAATACCCAGAACATCTGCTGTATAAAGGTTGGAACCATCTTAAAATTTTAATATTTTGTTTAGTATCTTAAGTGATATCCTATGTGAGTTAATTTGCCTTCTTTACATTAGGGAATGGCCAAATCCTGTGCTGTTGAAGCAACCAGAAGAAAGCAATTTGAATTTGCCTGTCTGGGATCCCCGGGTATGTGATTTACTTTGGAATTGCATTAAGGAAAGAACATTTCTCTAAAATACAATCTAAAGATTGTTGTTCTTCCTGCTCATTGTCCTTTGTAGCTATAATCCTTTCCTTCCCTCTGCTGAGATTTTTTTGTGCAGATGATTTAGGTCACTTACACTGATCTAAATGTTACGTCATTAAAAATCTCCCATGTAACACTAGATGAGTAGGTGTATCAACCACAGTGTCATAATCTGTTGTGAAAAACTGTCTCACAAGTAGTTACTACTAATAATGTACTGATGTATATAAAAAATGGACTTTGCAGTCCAATTTAGACTATTGGTTCCAAGATGGTATAATTCTTATACACCTCACATTTTAATTTGCTTTTAGAGTGAGTGCTCATTCCTCTGAGTAACCAAAGGAAAGTTATCCATTGAGTGGGTACAGAAAAAGGAGTGAGAATAAATGGACCAAATATTGTTTATTCCAGTTATGATACTGGTTTCTTTGATTCTAAAAGGCCATTGTTTATAAGATGCACCATCACTGTAACAGCATTTCCGAGGAAAAATAAATTGCAGGGTTTTTTTGACATTGACTGTCAGACATATCTGACTTCATAATGAAATGTTAGGGAAGGGAAATGTACTTCTTAGAATTAAGGAAATTATAGCTGAGTGTGGTGGTACACACCTGTAATCCCAGCATTTGAGAGACTGAGGCTGGGGGATCACCACAAGTTCAAGGCTAGCCTGGGCTACATAGTTCAAGACCAGCTTGAACTACAGAAGGAGACCCTATCTCACCAGAAAACAAATTTAAGGAAATTTAGTATTAAATTTATGTTTCATATTCTTCAGATTTTTGGGGAAATGAAATGAGGACAATAACAGAATAGATCAGTTATTCTGCTTCTGATTTCACAATTTCACAGGTAAATCCATCAGATAGGTATCACCTCATGCCTATAATCACCCCTGCCTACCCACAGCAGAATTCTACATATAATGTGTCCACATCAACTCGAACAGTAATGGTAGAAGAATTTAAACAAGGTAAGTATGTTGACCCTTTCTGCCTTAACATATTCCCACAAGGTTTTTATTGACAGTTTTATTCCTTGTTGTAGCTATGGATTGGCAATTAGAAATATGTGATGTGGGGCAGGGAATTTGGCTCAGTGGTTTCGCCGCCTGCTGTGCAAGCACAAGGACCCAAGTTCGATCCCCGGTACCAAAAAAAAAATAAAAAGAAATATGTGATATACTCTCCTTAAAAATTCTTTTCAGCTTTTCCAAAGTATATGTTAATATTAAAGCCAGAAATTGAGCCAATCCAGTCTGACCTGGCTGAATATCATATATGAGTTCTGAGAAACAACATATTTACATTTTATAACTCAAGAATTTGTTGAGGTTTGGAAGTTGGGAGTAGAGTGATAAAACAATCTGAGTGTCTTTCTCTCTCACTGTCTCTCTCTAATTAGGTCTTGCAGTTACAGATGAAATTCTTCAAGGGAAATCAGATTGGTCCAAGCTACTTGAGCCACCAAATTTCTTTCAAAAGTACAGGTATTTGAAATTTTGTATTATGTGCATGTAAGTGTATAAGAAGAATGTTAGATTTAGAGAGTTAATATATGATGGGTGACAGCTGTTATCTAGATTTCTAAAACAAGGTAGAGATAGGTTAATAGAAATCCGAAGTGATAATAGAGTTAGATCCTTCACCGTAGTCATATCAGATCCAGTGCAGTATTAGTGATTTTTAAATGCAGTTTGTGTTTTTCAAAGGTGGGGTCTAGAATTAATTTTGAGAAAAACAAAGTGTGCCTTAAGTTTTGTAAACTGTGTGCTTTTATTGCCATTTTGGGAATAAATTGGGAAGGAGAAAGACAAAGTAAATGATGGAAAAGCAGATGCTAACTGAGGTTTCTTTTTTTTTTTCTGATTGTTGCTTAAAATTCTTCAGACATTATATAGTATTGACTGCCAGTGCATCAACAGAAGAAAACCATCTAGAGTGGTAAGATTTAACATTTCAAGTTCCCCATGGTATGGTGATAATATATTTATATGGTGCTTTACGTTTTATAAAATACTTTCTTGCTTGATTTGCAAAATTATATTGGTGAATGATATACATGACCATGGAGCATCAGTGATTGAGAAATACCATAAGTTAATGTTTCAGAATCAGGAGTGACCTAAGTGTATATGTGCAGGTTGTGGGTTTTTGGGGGGTTTTGTTGTGGTTTTTTTGTTTTTGTTTTTGGTATGAGGGATTGAACTAGGGTCCTTGCGCTTGCGCAGCAGGCAGCAAAACCACAGAGCTAAATCCCTGGCCCAAGATTGTGTTTTTTGATGCTTCTGAGAGGATTTAAGCAAAATTTTGATGTTTGGATGATTCTAATACCCACCTTCTTACTGAGTTTTTCATCCTTGTTATCATAGTTTCCTCCATCAAAACTTGAAGGAAATATACTATATATATCTTTAATTTAGGGGACACTGGTACAAAAGGTTTCAGAATTTTAAGCTTCTGAGAGATAGGAGATTTCTTTTTGGTCTAGGAGCAATGTATTTTTTCTAGGGCATCTAAATCTGTCCCTCATGTCACCAGCATATTCATATTCCTGGTGCCATTAGGTAGAAGCTACTGGGCCACCAGAGCTGGTTATCCTTTCCTTGGGTCTGACTTCTGGAAAAGCAAAACTGTTACTTCACAGGTTTAATCACTTTACTGGTAAAAGAACTCCAAAACAATTTTTTTACTGAAGAGTATTTAATTTGTCTAGATCACGTGTTGGGAAACTATAGCCTGTGCCAAATTCAGTCTGCCCATCTCTATAAAGTTTTGTTAGAACACAACTACTTGTTCATTTATATTGTGTGAGGCTGATTTCTTGACAGGTGTTTGAAAAAGTTCTTTAAAGGTAGTAGTTATTCTAATTCATAAACTCACTAATAAATTAAGAAGTGGACATTAGTCCCATTTCTTATCTAAATCAGAAAATGAAGTTGTAGAAATCTAATGAAACAATCTAGTGTCTAATTTCAGTTTAGTGAATTTTTTAATGTGAGGTCTAGGCTATTGTAATTTTCCATAATAGCACATGCTGCATTTCCCAGATGCAGCGTGTACTTTTATTTTTGTTTTTACTCTCTTTTTCTCTTTACCTGGCCCAAACTTGCACTGCAGAGCCAGTTTTTCCCCTGCTCTCTTTTCTCAAATAAACTTTGTCATGGTTAAAATAAATAAATGTATGTATGTATTTATGTAAGGTCTATTCATTTTGTAATTCAGAGCATGTTTACTTCATAATTTATGTGTCGCATAAAATATATATACACACATATGTTTATCACAAAGTTTAAAGCACAGCACTAGATCAGGTAGAGGTGGATTGAATTTGCAGCTCTACAGTGCATAAACGATGTGATAGATGATAGGCAGTTACATAACTGATTTATACCTCAACTTCAACCTTCTATAAGTGCAGATAACAATATCAGTGGTGATGATTGATGCAATTAGGTGATGTATGCACAAAGCTTTTCACATTTCAAGCAGAAAGTCAGTAGCCAATAAGTGGTAGTTATTTTTAATATTTTATAATTCTCTGACAGAATTTTTCCACTTGTTTTCCTTATTTCCATGTCATTAATCTTAATTTTACTTTTCTTGTATCACATTTTATCACAAGAGTATGAAAACTGAAATCTTGCTCTTATTGCACATCTGTTAAGGCATCACTAAAGATGAAACTATTAAAAGTTCAAAATTATAAATCCCCCCCCAAAAAATAATAATAATAATTTATGTGTCAGTATTAGCTTTTTTGTTTACATTATAGCCTTAGTGTTTAGATACGAGATTTGAAAGTAGAGACAGATTGAGGAACATTTTCCACCAGTCATGCTCAAGTAATGACTATTTTATAATCTTAACCAAGGCAGGGTGTTTTAGATTCAGAAATGCATTAAATAGGTCAGTTCTTCTAAAAACAAGAAAACTTTTAAAAAGGGAGAGAGAACATAACAAATTCATGAAATTTTTCATTTATCTGAATGGTTTGTTTTTGGGGGTTGTTGTTTTTTTTTTTGCTTAAATTCTTTTATTGGTACATTTTAGGTTTATAATACGTTTACATTTATCATTTGAGTACTTGTACCTGTACATGATGTATTGTGGTTCTTACTTTTTCCCCATTCCCTGTCCTCCCTTCACCCCTTCCACCTTTCCCTATTTACAAAGACTTTGTTTCCATTCTCAATGGTATTTTAAATAGGCCCTGTTAAATTGGACTTCATTATTAAAATGAATTTTTAAAGTTTCATAGCTAATGTGCTCTTCAGTTTACTTGAATATACTTTGCAAATTTAATATGGTCATGAGAAAAAACTTGTTTATTTTAGGGTTGGATTGGTAGAATCTAAAATCCGTGTACTTGTTGGAAATTTAGAACGGAATGAATTTATTACTCTTGCCCATGTGAATCCCCAGTCATTCCCAGGAAATAAAGAACATCATAAAGAGTAAGTTCATTATTTTACAATATTGTATTTCTCAAAAAATGTCATTTGGCATACACATTGTTTCAAATCAGTTGCATCAGTGGGGTAGATTTAATAGTTTTGCATGCATGTGTGTTAATGAGTATTAAACCCAGGGCATTTGCACTGAGCAACATCTCCACTTTTGTATTTTTTGAGACAGTCTTGCTAAGTTGGCCCAGGTTGAACTCAAACTTATGATCTCTCTGCCTCAGCCTCCAAGAGTTCTGGGAATATAGGTGTGCCCCACTCTGCCCCACTTACATCTTTGAGTATGAGTGACCATGGATTACAAATAAGTACACACTACTTTGGTAGCCCATTTACTCACCAAGCATTCCATCTAATTGGAGCATCTTTAAGTAAATATTCAGCAAGTCATTTTCAAAGCCACTCAATCTTCTTTAGAACAACACAGGATAACTTGTTAGTTCTGGATGTCAGTTTTAAGAATTTAACCAAACCATTGAAATCTACTTATGAGATAGAGAAATAGAGCTTAAGTTTTAATTACCAAATAGCTTCTGTAAAATTATTTTAAAAATTAATGAAAATTCTTAAATTTTACTTTACAGCAACAATTATGTATCAATGTGGTTCCTTGGGATAATTTTTCGGAGAGTAGAAAATGCAGAAAGTGTTAATATAGACTTGACCTATGATATACAGTCATTTACTGATACAGGTAAGACTTTGTCATCATAGAGCTGTGATTCTCAACTTTAATTGTAACTCAGTATTAACTACCTAGGATCTGCTGGCTGTATTTTCTTTGAAGTTTCACAATTGGTTAAATGAAATGGTGCGTCCATATTTTGGAAATATGCTGGTATTAAAAAAGGAAAGGAGGGCTGGGGATTTAGCTCAGTGATTCCGCTGCCTGCCTCACAAGCTGAAGGACCCGAGTTCAATCCCCAGTACCAAAAAAAAACAAAAAAAAGGAAAAGAAAGGCATGATGAAGCACTTTCCAAGCCATATTAAGTTGGAAGGGTTGCAGAATAATGTGTATAGTGCACTACCATTTGCATAAATAAGAAAAAATATGTGCATGTACAAATGCATAGAATATTCCTGGAAAGATACTTAATTTTTAAAAAAAGCTGCCAAAGGTTATTGCTTCTACTTGAGAGAAGCCTGTCTAGTTAACAAATGTGAGGAAACTGAGTATTGTTAAACCCTTTGAGTTTTAATCTATTTTAAAACAAAAAGAAAGATAACTGAAACTCCATTGGTGATTCATCTTGTGCACAGCCATGGTTTATAACCACAAGATGACTTAATTTTTAATTTTTTCATGTGAACTAAGTATCAGTGGATAAGAATATGATTGATCAAGAATATCTTTCACAAGGAAAAAATATGAGAAGAGGAAAAAAATGGAAACGAGGTCTTTGCAAATAGGGAAAGTTGGAGGGGGTGAAGGGAGGGCAAGGGAAGGGGAAAAAAAATAAGAACCAAGAGACTCATGTGATGGTACAAGATCCCAATGATGAATGTAACTGTATTTTATACCTAAAATGTACCAATAAAGTTAATGGGGAAAAAATTAAAAAAAAATTTTTTAAATAAAATTAAATTTAAAAAAAGAGTATCTTTCATATCTAGCCCCGAACCACACCTGTCTGGAATATTGTAATGTATCAATTATAAATTTGGGTTTTCTTAATCTGAAATAGTATGTATTCATGCTATTATTCTTTGATTCATGTGAGTTTTCTAAATGCGAGCCCACACATTTATCATGATAACACATATTCCTTAGAATCACTACATCACATTCCTGGGGAGCTGGGCATAGTGGTACATGTCTGTAATCCCGGCACTCAGAGGCTGAGGCAGGAGGATCACTATGAGTCCAAGGCTAGTGTGGGCTACATAGTGAGTTCAAGGCCAGCCTGAACTACATAGTGAGACCCTGTCTCAAAAAACAAATTTAAAAAAGCCAAACATTCCAGGGAATCTACAACTTGAAAAAGTACTCATAATTATTTTATAAGCAATCTGGAATGAGAACATAAATATAAATTTTCCCGTTCTAATTTGATCTCAAATTTTTCAAAAAGGACACTATTGGGATATTCTGTTTAGTATAGATATGTAAAATGCTCTTTTCCAGATGTGGAAACTTTAGGGTCCAAGATATTAAAAAATTTATTACAATTCACAATAGTTGCTGTGTAAAACAAGTCTCCCATCCCTATCTTCAATAGGTTTTTAATCTAATTGGCTGTTCATAAAATACATTAAGTGGTTATGTGATAATATAACTGGTTGTCTTACAAAGCACTAAAATAGAAGTCTGGGGTTGAATGTATTCTGATTCAGGCAAGGTGTTCAGCAATAGTGAGCCTCATTTCCCTCCCTGCACAATAAGGATGTACGGAAGATGGTTTGCGAAGTCTAATGTTCTGTAATGTGGGCAACAGTAGTAAAAGAAGCTTCATGGACAAGGGAAAGGATGAATTGCTATTGAGTACTTAGTAAAAAAATTGACTCAGGCTTCAGCAGGTAATAGGAAGAGAGGTTGTCTTTTGGAAAAATAGCAATAAACAAGATTTAGAAAAATGTTTTTGCTTGTATATTTATCTTGTTAATGAGATTTGATTATGAGAAAGTCTTAGAAGATGGACGTGCAAAACTAGTCAATTCTTTTTTTTTTTTTTTTTTTGGTAACAGGGATCGAACTCAGGTCCTTGCGCTTGCGCAGCAGGCAACGAAACCGCTGAGCTAAATCTCCAGCCCAGAACTAGTCAATTCTTGAATAGGATTGTGACTGACAGTGTTTTAGAAACATTTGTTGTATAACAGTGTGTGTGTGTGTGTGTGTGTGTGTGTGTGTTATTGGGGACTGGACCCAAGGCATATGCAATGAGCACCATCCTTACCCTACTTGGGGAGATACTGAAGGTATATGCACTTCAGAATAAGAAAACAGCTCTTAGTCCAAAAAGAAATTCCCCATTTAACATATTAATACTGTTACAGTGTACAGACAAGCAAACAATATAAACATGCTGAAGGAGGGAATGAAAATTGAAGCAACTCATGTAAAGAAAAAACAACTTCATCAGTACCTTCCAGCAGAGATTCTTCAGAAGAAGAAAAAGGTAAATTTGTTACTTTAACTCTCCAGTATGGTTCCACTCAGACAAATAGTGGGACCAGATTTGAATTTTTTATCTCTCACACCTATTTGAAAGAAAGAGAAACAATGCATTCATCCTTACCTTCAGTAATCACAGACATAGTTTGCTTATATGCACTTCAAAGTTAAAGTACTCTGTATTCTCATTTGTTTTTTTGAAATTCTAACCGCTTTCCTCTACTTCAGCAAAGTCTCTCTGATGTCAGTCGAAGTTCAGGTGGACTTCAATCCAAAAGATCATCTCTAGATAGCAATTGTCTGGACAGCTCCAGAGACACAGACAGTGGAACTCCTTTTAATTCTCCACTATCTACAAACAAACCTTCTAAGCCTGAAAGTCCTCGTACAGGAGAAACAGAAAGGTCTGCATATTAAAATTACCCTTTCAGTCTTCAGTTTATTTGAAGATAATGTGAACTTTTCTATAGCTTTGCTGAATGCCTTTTTAATCATTAAAAGATTCTGTTTTACTAGCTGCTAGTCAGTTTCCTGTTAGAAATACTTGACAGTGCTGTGGGAGATGGTATGGACTTAAGAGTATGTGGGAATCATTATACAGAAATTAAATCACTTAATGATAATTTAATACTTTTATAGGAGTAGTGCTGAGCCTGCTGCTGTAATTGCAGAGAAGCCACTGAGTGTCCCACCAGCTCAAGGACTATCTATTCCAGTAATTGGTGCAAGTGGGTATCTAAACTTTTATGAGTGATTCTACTAAATAAATATTTAATTATCAAAGTCATTTTTCAAATAAGAGAAAAAATAAGAAAATTTTTTTTTTTTTTCAGAGGTTGACTCTACAGTAAAAGCTGTATCACCCCCAGCTGTCTGCACCATTCCTACTGTAGTGGGGCGAAATGTCATTCCTAGAATAACAACACCCCACAACCCTGCCCAGGGACAACCGCATCTAAATGGAATATCGAATATGACCAAGAATGTTACAACAAAAAGATCCCATTCCCCATCCATAGATGGGACACCTAAAAGGTTGAAAGACATAGAAAAGGTAAAGTTATGACTTTAGTGGTAATTCAGTAGTTGAGTTTTTTTAAGGTTAAAAGAACCCACAATTCTCCATAGCTATGTTAGTTTCTTCTTAGGAGTTGATTGTTTGAAAAGAATATTTCAAACCCTAGAGGAATAATATCAAGTGCTCATCCTAAATTCAAATTATTGATGTGTCTGAAAAATTTGAATGGTTGGTCTAAATTTCTCTTTCACTTATACAGATCACAATTGCTAACTAAATTATGTTGGTTTTTTTGTGTTATGTTGATGCTCCTTGCTTCCAGTAGGGGGTGGTAAAGCTATGTAGATTTGTTAGAATCTGGCTTGATTTAACCAAAAAAAATCACTGTACAAATTCAGGATGGCAGTTGAATTCAATTTAATTTAAAATCTCTTCCCTCACCAACTTATGTTTTTAATAGTTTTTGATGATGGCCTAATCAGTTACTTAATTCTCTGTTTATATAGGTTTGTATGGTTTTTACAGATATATAATAATTCATTTTAATGTTTATATTTTAGTTTATTCGACTTGAGTCAGCATTTAAGGACTCCCGCAATGAAGACAGAAAAAGAAAAACAATGGTAAATATGTTAATAATGTGCTTCAGAATACTTTTTCTTTGTTTTTATTTTTTATTAGTATATTTATATTACATGATGGTTACATTCCTTGTGTGGAGTTGGTTCATGTACATAACACATCTGAATTATTTTTTCATCCTGTACCCGTTCCTCCATCTTTTGACCTCCTTCCCATTTGAAAAATATCTATCTACCCATTTCCTGTCTTTTATTTTGCTCTTTATTTATACAGAATAAAGAGCAATGTGTCAGAAGGGTTCTTTATTAGAAAGTAGGTCAGATTAGATCTGTAAGGTTTTGCTTATGTTTTAAGTAGGAATGAGTGTTGCATATCAGAAAGTTTTGTTCATGTATAATTATTCTGTTTTTAGGATGCTGTTGGAGAATCTATGCCTATTCCAACTATTGATACGTCACGCAAAAAGGTAATAGTCTTATTCATAGGTAAAAAATCATAGGTAATCTACAAGTACAAAAAGGTTTATTAAAGCCCAGGGTAAGAGTTTGTCCCTGTTCTGAAGGGTTAAGGATGTTCTTAGGGTTAAGGATGGAGACAGCAAGCAAAATAGATAGTCCTGAATATACATACATCAAATGCCTAAAAAAGAGCGAGTAATTTAAGAAGACTTCATGGTTTATTTAGATTGTGTTCACTCTTAGTTTCTTATATTTAAAGAAACAGGGTTGGGGAGTATAGCTCAGTGATAGAGCATTTGCCTAGCATATGTGAGGCCCTGGTTTAATCTCCAGTTTAAATAAAAAAACTGGAGAGCTGGGTGTGGTGGTGCACACCTGTAGTCCCTGCACTGGGGAGCCTGAGGCAGGAGGATCACTGCAAGTTCGAAGCCAGCCTGAATTGCATAGTCAGTTTAAAGATTACATAGTGAGTTCAAGGCCAGCCTCAACTACACAGTGAGACCCTATCTCAAAAAAAGAAAAACATGGGGCCAGGGATTTAGCTCAGTGGTTCTGCTGCCTGCCCCACAAGTGCAAAGACCCGAGTTCGATCTCCGGAACCCAAAAAAAACGAGAGAGGTGCCCCTAAACCTCAGTTTAAAGACTTATTCTTTTAAGAGTTACTATTGAAACTGATAATACACAGTTTTAAGCATGGTAAGCTAATAAGTGCTTTAAAAGCAACCTTGTATAAATCAGAGAAAGCCCTTCTCACGAGTTTATAGTGAATAAAATAGCTTATTTTCACCCCACCCATTAAAAAATAAAGTGCTTTTCATTCCAATCATTTGTCACCTCCCTAGATTCCCTGGAATGTATTGGCCATTTGAAAGCAAAATAATGTCCTCATAGGCTATTTATTATAGAAATTGTAAGCATATATTTATAATTATAGTATGATAATAGAAGAAAAAAATTTGAGATGGGTATTAAATAATAGAATCAAATGACATGTTTGGATTTTTTAAATATTTCACATACAAAGCCTAAGTGGGTAAACCAGACAAATGGGGCAAACTTAATTTCTGAGGTTTGATTATGACAGCTGAGTCTTCATTGCCCTATTTCCATGTTCTCAACTTTTATGTATGACTGAAGCTTTTTCATAGTTCTTTGGGGATTCTGTTTGTCTTGTTTTTGAATGAGGAAATAGAAACAGATTTAAGCATTAACTGTTGCAGTCATCTTTTGAATGAAACTTTATCATACTACGTCTATCACACAAAAGTCTGTATTGTAGAAATCTTTCTTTGCTTCTCAATTTCTTAGATTTTCCCTTCCCTATATAATATTTAATGTCCTCAGAATTTGCACACAAATGTCCCCAAATTTTTCCAACATCAAGGTTACCTAGCTAGACTATGCAGTTCACACAGTTCACAGTTTTCTCCATAAATATATTATAGAAACTAAGCAGTGTAACTCTCAGCAAGTTTTTCTCCTAACACTCATTTTTCACTTCATATGCCAAGAGTTTCCTATTTAATCACTAGGCATTTCCGTTTTCTTGGTGTCATTGCCTGACTTCAAGGATGACTGAGTTCTCTCAATCTAGAAGTGTCAGTTGATTTAACAAAATCCTCGGGCCAGGGATTTAGCTCAGTGGTGCCACGCCTGCCTTGCAAGAGCAAGGTCCTGAGTTCAATCCCCGATACCAAAAAATAAATCCTTTTTTCCTGTACATACTCACGCTCCTGCCACTTCAACTCTTTTCCCTGGCCTGTTTCAGTTCTGACCAAAAAAAGCAAGTCCCAAAAGGAAGAAATACCAGTGAATAAGCAATACTGGAAGGAATTATTCAGCACACACACTTGAGTGTTTAGGAGCTTCAGGGATTTGAAGAAAGGGTTTTTTGACTGATTGTTGGGCCTTTGTAATGTATACCTATGCTTTTTCTTTTTTGTTTGTTTTTTTCTAATAGAGACTGCCTAGTAAAGAACTACCAGATTCATCTTCTCCAGTTCCAGCAAACAACATTCGTGTCATCAAAAATTCCATTCGACTGACCCTTAATCGGTAAAAGCAGTGCCTCCTCACTTACGTGAACATGCAATCATATCGTGGCACAGATGCAGCCACTCTTTTCAAAATAGAAGTGGCTGTCATACATAAAATAGGTGAAAGTTACAGTCATCAGCCTAACAACCTTGAAGTGGTTTTCGAACTCTCACACTTTGACCTGCAGATGCTGTAGCATTCGCTTACTGATTGCTACATACACTCTGAGGATCACCTGCTATCAAATTTTCATCTACAGTATTATGGCTTTGCATTTGGAGGTTTTACTGCCTTAACTTTAGGTGTTTTATTTCTCTATTATGGGAACCGGTTCTTAGCCACTTGGACACTGACAGAACAAGTCTTGAACTTTTTTTGTGTATGTGTGTTAAAGTCTTATGTTGTAATTATCATTGTATAGAGTTGAAAAAGTTGAAAAAAAATTTGTCATGTAATTTTTCAAATGTTAATGTATTTACTTTAGCATCAAAGTCACTTTGTAAAACCTGAGATAAATGAATGTGAGATATCTTTTCTGCTTTTTTTTATGTGTGTGTAGATGTACTGTCAGTTCTGTTGATTTAAATTATTTTTTTCCAGATTGGCACATGGAATATTTAAACTTTTGGTTTTTGTGCCTTTCTGTCCAAATGTTGCATAGCTACCAGGGAGGATTAGTCCGGTGATTACATAAGAGTTGGCACCATAAATTCTCTATATTTTGCCTCCCATGGAGGCCTTTGAAATGCATCTTTATTAAAAAGTCAAAATATAACCAGGATACTGAAAGTCAGTATATGAATGGTGAAATTATTACATATCCTACTATCTCATGCCATTCTTGTTAGTTGACTGGTATTTTTTTACTGAGGAATAACTCATTCCACCATCAACAATAAGATACCTTTAAGTATGGGCAAACTTGTACTTTTGAGGTGTAAAATTAACTTGGCATGATAATCCCTGACCATTACCCCACAACTTCAAACAGTTTCTTCATGGACTAGGCATGCAGAAATAGCAGTGGATTTTATTAAAACCTAAAGGCATTTTTGAATGACATTGTTACCAACCATTAATTGGCTCAGGACCTTTGTAATTTTTATTTAACAGTATGAGTTGTCTTTTTTTACACTGCTTTTTTCAATGCATTTCTTAATATTTTTTAAGTTTCATGAACGCATGCTGAGTTTATTAAAATCCATAACCATGTAATTCTTGTAATATGTTGATTCAGTGTTTTGTAAATGAAGTCGTATGTATTTTCAGAGTATTTTTGTATGTACTATAAGATACCATCTTTTCAAAGAGAAACCTTTAAAACCTTTACTGTCTCTCTCTTAATTTTTAAAATGTGGATTATGCTTGAACTATTATATTTAAAATGCAAAACGTATAGATTGCACAATCAGGAATGCCAATATATATACCTTCTTCATCTTTCACGCCCCATGTAGTTGGTCTGACAAGATAAACACAAAGTGGTACTTTGAATAGTGAGAACAAATAAGTTGGTTGAATATTTTATAGGATTCCTGAGATGCCATCTAGTCAGTGGAGAAATAATGGTCCATTTTCACATGTAAATCCTTTACCATTGAGTTTAAATTCTTGAATTAAAATTGTCACAGTAATATCCTCCCTTTCCTACTCCTGTTCCTTGGTCCCCAGGTCTCTGAAGTGCAAGTCCTAGTGTTTAACATGTACAGAGGAAACCAGGAAAGAAAAAACCAAATCTTAGAAAAGCAAGGAAAAAATGTCCTGTTACTCAGTTTTGTTGTAGTTTTTTAAAATACTGGAGATTGGACCCAGGACCTTTGCTATACCCCCAGTCCTTTTTTATTTCTTATTTGAAACTAGGTTGCCCAGACTGGGCTCAAACTTGCAACCCTCCAGCATCAGCCTCCCAGCATGCTGGGGTTATAGGTATGCACCACCACACCCAGCTCCATTATTCACTTTTTACATAGCAGCTGCAGACAAAATGCAATCCCATGATCAAGTTATAGCTTCCATGCTGACCCTTTTCTTACATTCAGATATGTGTACAAATACACTGAACAAAAGTGAGTGATACTGAAATGACTATCACTTAAAACTTTGAAAATTCTTTGGTAAGGGATTTGATTAAATATTATATACTTGTTGTGTATGTGTTTCTGTATTTCATATCCCCTGTATTTAAATCAGCCTTAGGAAGGAAGTCTTTTAAGAATTCCCTATATTGGCCGGGGATTTAGCTCAGTGGGTCCGGCGCCTCCCTCGAAAGCGCAAGGTTCCGAGTTTGATCCCCGGTACGAAAAATAAAAAAAAAAAAGAATTCCCTATATAGTATATCCAAGTTGACCCTATTAAGTAAACATTCTTTGGAGTGACCAGTGGAGTTCAACAAGAACAAGTTTATTCCATAATATAGTCACTTCCCTTGGATTAAGGGTCCAGTCATCATAATGTGAAGATATGGTCAATGGTTCAACTTTAGAATCCTCACAGATACTATTCTTCAATGAATGCTAACTCCTTGGTTAACTGAGGAGTTGGCTGGATGCTTTTGGTATGGCAGATTTGTTCAGAAATGAAGTGTTTCCTGTCCTGACTGGTAAGGAAGGACTTTCAGTAGCATGGAAGGAGGCCTCTGTTGTACTGAGCAAGTAAAAGGTATGGTCTAAGGATTGTACATTATGTCCAGGGGCACTGCCTATGTGCCTGTTTGCAAGTGTGAGACTATACCTAGAAGTATAGTTTATGAAGTCAACTTGTTCTTCAGTATATAGATACATGTTCATTTTCACATTGTATTATATTTTAATCTCATTTTTCAGTGACTAGCTTTAAAGAATAGTATATTTAAAAGGAGAATAGTTGTCTGATAGTCTAAACCTTAAGGACTTAACCAGTTTGAGATAGGAAGTAGCTCGTTTAAAACCTTGTAAAATCGGGGAAGGAGAATAAATTTTTTAAATTTATATTGGTGCTTAAAATAAGACTTTGTCTTAAGGCAGCCATTAAGTAGTGTTATTAAAATACTCATACTATAGTAACAATTAAGTGAAAATGGATTAAACTTATTTTCCACTATGTCCCATAGCTTTGAAATAGGAATTCCTAACCTGGGGATCAGGAAACCTTAGGAAGTCCTTTGTAATAGTACATAAGTTTTTGTTTATATGCATTTTTCATCAGTTTCTCAAAGTGGTTCATAATCCCAAAAAGGGGAAAGGGTAGAAACCATTGGGATTGAACAATCTTAGAGTGTTTAGAATTTCCTCCATTTGATTTTGCTATATTTCTGAAAATGTACTGTGGCTATTAATAAAGTGGGCTGGCAAAATACACATATGAAAAAATGTTCAATATCACTGGTCATTCAAGGGATGCAAATGAAAACAGCATTGAGATTCCACCTCACCCCAGAAAGAACGACTGCCATCAAGAAATCAACCAATAAATGCTGGCGGGGGTGTGGGGAGAAAGGAACCCTTCTCCATTGTTGGTGGGAGTGCAGACTGGTGCAACCACTGTGGAAATCAGTATGGAGATTCCTCAAAGAACTAGGACTAGAGGTCCCATTTGATACCGAATAGTTTCTCTGGTGTGAGAAACTGAAAGTGTAAATAAAGATTAAAATGATTAAAACAAATAATTGATAATTTGAAATAGGAAGAAAAGGTCCAAAGGGGTAGGGGAAGTGGTAGGGGAAGGGGAAAGGAAAGAAGGGAAAGGAAAAATGTGAAAAGGAAAGAATGGAAACAAAGTCTTTGTAAATAGGGAAGGGTGGAGGGGGTGAAGGGAGGCTAGGGAATGGGGAAAAAATAAGAACCAAGATATATCATGTAAAGGTACAAGCACCCAATGATAAATGTAAACGTATTGTACACCTGAAATGTACCAATAAAATAATTTAAGCAAAAAAAAATTCAAAAAAAAAAGTGGGCTGCCAGAGGACTCTGGAACATTGAATTTTAAAGGTTCTTTATATTCTTCAGATGAAACATCAACATTTAGAGAAATGTTTACTATCATATTTACAAATGTCTCATATTAATTTAGATTCATTAAAATAGTCAAACTTTAGTTTAACAAATTTCACCTGTAGGTTGACCTGAGTACAATACTTAGAATGACCATTTGAAGAAACAAAATAGAAATCATTAAATAGCCTAGTCCTTTAAATTTGATAACGAAGTTCTCACTTAGGCTTTCATGTTTGCCATTCAGGCCAAAACAGATTGAAGAGCTCAATAAATTGAAGAGCATTAGTGTAAAAATACTTTTTGTAGCCAGGCGTGGGGTTGCACACCTGTAATCCCAGCACTCAGGAGGCTGGGACAGGAGGATTGCTTCAAGTTTGAGACCAACCTGGGCCACACACTGAGTTCAAGCCAGCCTGAACTGCATATTGAGACCCTGTCTCAAAAAAATACTTTTTGTATAATTAGTGTTTAAACAACTAATAAATTATCCAAAGCTTAGAATTTAAACTGGTTATGAGAGTAACAAAGCAGATGATGGAAGAAAACTAGTTTCAATGATAGTAACTATTTCCTTCAGATTTTCTTTAAAAACTGTACAAAGTCATTCCTTCCCAAATTCCCTATTTTCCTGAAATAATTTTTCTGATATAATTTTAAACTTGAAATTAACTGAACATAGATTCGACAGGTTTGCTATGATTTTGAAGCCATTGCTGGATTTTAGCAAAGACCCACATAATTAGAGTAAGGTTGTCTTTGCCATAAATGGTGCTCCCTCACTGCAGTATTCTGTAAATGCAGCTGCTGTTCCTTTTTAGGTAGCTGATACGTACTTCATACAATTTTTGTCTATTATTTGGACTGTTATTTCTTAGTTGTACACATGAGACTTGTTTGGAAGAAGTAACCAGATAAACAGGTAAATAGGAGGTAACGATGAGTGATATTTTGGGGACTAACTCAAAAGTTCTAGAGCTCTTTTTTTTTTTTTTTAAACAGGGTCTTGCTATGTAGTTCAGACTGGCCTTGAGCTCACGACATAGCCTGGGCTGGCCTCGGACTCACAGCAACCCTCCTGCTTCTGCCTCCTGATTGCTGGGATTACAAGTGTGCTCCAAAACACCTGGTTTAAATTTGTTCCTTTAGACTGACAACCATTTTGGTCATTTACCACCTAGATTCTTTTTGGTAGATAATGGTGTCAACTACCCATTTAATATGAAAGGAAAGCTCAGACTTGATTTGCCTCACACAGAATCACCTATTAAGATTTATCAGCAAGCAGTAGCACAACTGTACATGCAATCTAAGTTTTAAAAAGTCCTAGCTTTCTGCCCTTTTCTGACCACACTTTCATGAGAGTCACTTGAGGCATCTCTGTTAAGCTGTGGCAAAATTCTCTCACCCTATGGTCAGCATCAGTCAACTGGAATCCCCCGAACTAATGGCTTGACACAGGTGTGTTTAACCATCAAACCTTGGGTACTATCCACACAGGCACAGGTTACATGTCTTGTTACATTCTTATACCCTTTCTCAGACTAAACAGTGGCTATTAGTTTTTAGTCCACATACTAGTACTGAATTCACAAATGACATCTTGTTCCACATTGAGATTATTAGGAGTCCAACAATGTCACCAATAAGAACATGTCTGACATTGAGCTAATTAGCAAAGTCTTGTATAGATTGAGCTATGGATCACAGGCTGCTATAGTCACTGGGGAAGTGTGAGAGTGTGAATCTCTAATTGGGACAAGTCACTATTCCTAGAATACAACTTATACTAACAGTTACTACACTGGGCTGAAATGTTTTAAGGCAAATTAACATCGTAAATAGGTACTTTGTGGATCCAAACATATTACAGTATTAAAAGCAAAATAGGATGTATTGCTTTCAAAGCCCACATTATAAAAACTATCAAACTAAATGATCCAGCCAAACTGTTTTACTGAATAGCCTTTGTTTGCAGATAGGATCTCACTATGTAGTTCAGGCTGGCCTTGAATTCACTATGTAGCCTGGGCTGGCTTCACACTCGAGATCCTCCTGCCTCAGCCTCCTAAGTGCTGGGATTACAGACATGCATCACCACACCCAGCCTGAATATCCTTTTAAAAAGCCTACTCCTAGCCTGGGCTACATAGTGATTTCAGGGCCAGCCTGAACTACAAAGGGAGACCCCGCCTCAAAACAAAACAAAATAAAACAAAAGCATACTCCTAAGCCCTTCCTTACCAACCTTTGATTATTGAAATTTTTTACTTATGCTACATAAAGCTTCCCATATTGCTTGTGCCTTTTAACATTTAAATCATTCTAACTTGTGTAATGCTCCATTTAGCTGTTT